AAGTTTCAATGGTTTTCCATAGACTTAAGCTTTAAAGTGTTTCATCCAGGTCGCCAGTAGCAAACAATGGAGCGCGCTCTGCTGGACAGACTAAGTAATTACACCATTTCAAGCATTTTATCTGAGTTATATGTTGTGTGTTTCTAGGCGAAAGCAAAAGCACTTTATCTGGCGAAGACCACAACTCCCATGATTCCACACTCAGTCACGGCATCATCAAACTACGCCTTTGTCTCGGTTTATTTTGAATATGCACCCTCTAACGGCGAAAATTACATATTGTGCCTTTAAGGAGGAAGAAACCCCAATTATATTCAGAGGCCCAAACTGAGCAAAAACATGTAATTTGGTGCCGATGCTGATAGAAATTTTGATAGCTCGTAATGTAAAACAATAAGATCTTCACAACATAAATTGCACATAAATATCAGTTGTCACTTTATAGCTCCCAATAATATGTCTAAGTAAGATGTGTTTAAATGTTTAGTTTTATTAATCAAAGCTATGTAGTTTTCGTGGAGGGCAAAACATATAATGCAATGCTGCCAATGCAATACAATGATGTCTGAGAGAAATAAATGTTCCTCAAAAGCCTGATCGATCATGTATGATATATTTTAACATTGACTTTTCTAAAAAATTATATACAGATAATCAAGTTGCTTCAGTCCAGTAAATGCTCATCTTAAATTACTACTAACAATATAAAAGTTACTTATGCCCGAAGTTAATCTTTTAAGTTAATCTTAAAATACCACAACCTGAAGCTGGACATTTTTACATTTGTACTAATAAAAAGTATAAACTATCAATCACATAGCAGAAGGCATGTAGCAGATTGTATACAACACTTTCTAGCAAATTGGTGATCATGTTCATAATTTAAAAGCTTTACAAATGTATGTATAAAACATGATACAGTAAGCTTTAATAGGTTAAAAAAATATGAAGGTTTATAGCACATTTCAGATGCTTGAGGTTAAAGATCTCTTGGGATTGGATGATTTTGATTGTAATGCTATCAATAGGAGTTCAGGATTCTGCTCATTTTGGATTGCCCTTATCTGACACATCCAAAGCATCTTTTAACTAATGAGGTAGACAGCCAAAATATGCAGTGCTCCAGGAATGGTTTGAAAAGCCCAGCTCTAGATCACTGAACATATGTGATTTACAACCCAGCAGAGCGAGGAGGGGTATTGTAAAAAGGAGACAGCCTCTTTGCTCAGTCACAGGAAAGGAGGGGGAACAAATAACTTTAGTGGGCTGCTTCCGCCCTTCATCTCGTTATGACTTCCCGTACAGATGATGAACGATCCCGATGAGAAGGTCCCATCCAAACCCAAACGCTGGGGCCAAAATCCGAGCGTTGAGGATTAAACCAATTCACAGCCTAACCATCCACCCCCATGATGGAACAAAATGCACATCACATTTAAAAACCGTGTTTCTAAGACATCAGGAAATCAATTTAGAGGATGATTTTTCGTGCATAAAAATAATAAGTGCCTAAATGTAGTTATTTGACTGGCTCGTGCTAGCTTACAGACAGCGCTCGCTACAGCGCACGTGTTTCATTTGTGCAGTAACGTGAGCGCGTGAATTTTAAGAGCTGGGAGGTCTGGCACACCAATATCAAGTGTGTAAACAAACTATTTCCGTAGTCTCCAAAAACGCAGTTATAAACTAAACAGCGGTTCGAAAATATGTTAAAGAGTTTCTAAAGAACCCTATTTTGAGATTATGACAGGAAACTTCGAAACAGCAAATAATAGAACCAAAATCGCGTGAACTCGTCAATATTGGACACACATGAGGAAAAATAGCTGCGCTTATGGACTCACCCCAAAACCACCAGTTCGCCGTACTTTACTGGCTCTTTAGTGGGCGCACAGTGCTCCTCTTGACCCGGTGAAAACATGAGGCTTTTCAAACAACACACTCTCAATTACACGATCAATCCAGCGACGAAAAGGGAAAAGACTTCAAAGGACGCTCCTAACTGCCATATTTCCCATTTACCTGCTCCCGATCTTGAGTTGTACTTTTCAGAAAAGAAAAAAGTCAGTGAAATCCTACATCCGAGAGAGATTTAAGAAATAATGATAATAATAAAGCCTTATGTCTCGGGCATATTTCATTATATGAACAGCGAGTAACTTAATGCTTCCATCCGCTGTAAGAAAAACAGTACTAGTAGGGGGTGGACCGTACCATTCACTTAGAACGACTTTACGCGGGGAAGCACGCGAAGAAACTTTCCAAATATTATAGTGAATATTCTCGTAGGATTATCATTGGTTGGTGTATACTTGGAAACTTTTGAAGACTGTGTTGCCTCTGCACAATCTGTAATGGACAGTTTGATCCTGTGATATTTCAACTTTTAAGCTAAAAAAAAATGCACCCCCTCTAACGGCACAATCCAACACAACGGCGGTCTGAGGCGGCACCTTCAATTATGTAAACAAAAGCAGAAACTTAGATATATTTAAAGTAATACACTTGGTTTTTCGATTTGGGTACACTTTACGTAAATATATAATAATAGTTTGAAAAAAAATACATTTTTATTTCTTTGTAAGTGTCACTCATATAGTGCAATAACAGTAGCCCACGTATCAGTAACGTTAATCATCAATAGGCTAAATGTGTTTGCGTTTCCACTGATTTAAAACAGCACACCAAAACCTCTACATTTTAGTGTAGGCTATTATACAGGCACGTTCACCCAAAATAAAAGGTCTGTCATCGTTTACTCACCTTCACGTCAAAGGTAGGCTATATAACTTTTTCTTTTTTTCTGCAGAACACAAAAGAAGATATTTTGCAGAACATTGTGATCCTAACAACATTAGACCCCTTTGACTTTCATTGTACATCTTAATCTATCTTTAAAACTATCACTTTAATTGCAGCTATCATTTTTGTAATATTCTGAATGGGATTTGCCTTTACAAATAAATGATTTTGACTTTCAAAAAGCCCATGTGCAGCCACAACATATGTAAATTAGGCAATAGGGTCTGAGAATATAAACTGTTGACCCGCTCTGCTGTAAATCATCACTGTGTTAAATGCCGTCAGTTCCATCACAGACGTCTTGCTGTTAACAGCTCAGTCCACATGAATGAGCCATTTGCTAGGAGTTTGCTTTTCATCCATACGTGCCTTCACAGAAGCATTGAGATTCTCTTTTATGTTTGATGGCTTGATTATTAGGATTATAGATGTCTCACATCTGTATTTGAAACATTTTGAGACACTAAAAATGTGTATATTTCTGCTGAAGGCAAGACACCACAGGTGAATAGTAAATGTTTTAACTAATAGATATTACCATACTTCCCCACTTGATTAATCATGGTACAATAAGACAACTCTTTTGTATTACAAGTTTTCTGAAATGTTGTTTAAATATGCAAATGTGGCATTATGTCATTAAATATGTCCTAATGTGCATACATTTTCAGAACATTAATCTAAAAAATGTATAACAACTGGTTCAATTTATGTATTTATTTAGACATATTGGAGTTAGTTTTTACATAGGCGTTTTTTGGATATCCCTTTTTATCAGAAAGAGCAGATCTTTTTTATCAGATCCTTTTTATTGGATATCTGCATAAATCTCAAAATACTGTCAACAGCCATAAAATATTCCAAATATTCCAAATAGTTTAAGAATAAAATGTTATATAAATCAGGTAAATTATATACACTTGCAACCATTTTTTGGGTTCCCCAAATAACTATTCAGTGAACAGTTGTTATATTTTATATAGTTCTTTTTTTTAAGAGCATTTTAATCATGAATCATAAAATTCATGAATGATGAAGGTTCATGTTTATTTGTAAGAGTGTATGAACAAACCCCTCTGTTAAAACCTTCATAATATGGGAATAAAACTGTAAAGTTTGGTGTATGTAAGTGCTACTGTGCTACTGAAGTGGAGATTTCTGAAAAAATATATTTTTTTAAATTTAATTTCAGAGTCAATCTTTAAAGTATGTGTTATATTGAATTGATAAAGTGTAATATAATAAACACTTGTGTGTATGTATTGTTTTCTTTCCACTTGTCTGAACGAAGTTCAGTGTTATGGAAGTAAAATAACCCAAAATCTAAAAAGCAAAAATTGTCCAAGATTTGTTCACTGAAAAGGAAAATTCTGTCACCATTTACTTTCTTTCTTGCATGGAACAGCAAATCAGATGTGAGGGTGAGTAAATGATGACAGAATATTAATTTGTGGGGAAACTGTTTTTAATATCAATTTGAAAATGTCTCTCTTGCCATTCGTTCTTCCTTTGACAAATTGGAGTGTATGTTCTCATTTGAGTGCTTGTTGTCAGTTTACTTTCTCTAAATAATTGCATGCTAAAATAGTGTTGTCATTGATCACAGGTAGTGAGGCCTCCTAGTGTACTTTTGGCCAAACCTCCCGATCAGCTGTTAAACTCCTCTACTCCTCATGTACTTTGACGGCTGTTCAGTCCTTCACACGTTCCTGCTGAATGTGTTACCTCCACACTTTTGTGAAGTCTTGTAATTAGCCCACACTGTCACCACAGTCCATCCAGAGCAGTTAGGTTTTTTTGGTTGGTGTTTTACCTAAAATAAATACACATAATAAATAAATAAACAGAGCTCCAGAGCTTTGTTCAGTCGTAATTACCTTAACCCACCATGCTTTGTCACAGCTGCAAATCCTTTATTTGTTCTGGAGTCATTATTTGTGACCCTGGACCACAAAACCAGTCATAAGGGTCAATTTTTCGAAATTGAGATTTATACAGCATCTGAAAGCTGAATAAATAAACTTTCCATTTGTTAGGATTGGACAATATTTGGCTGAGATACAACTATTTGAAAATCTGGAATCCGAGGGTGCAAAAAAATCAAAAGATTACCTTTAAAGTTGTCCAAATGAAGTTCTTAGCAATGCATATTACTAATCAAAAATTAAGTTTTAATATATTTACAGAAGAAAATTTACAGAATATCTTCATAGAACATGATCTTTACTTAATGTCCTAATAATTTTTGGCATAAAAGAAAAATGTATCATTTTGACCCATACAATGTATTTTGGCTATTGCTACAAATATACCCCAGTGACTTAAGACTGGTTTTGTGCTCCAGGGTCACATATGGGTAAATTTCACAAAAATATATCAAAAAATTAAAAAAAATTAAAAATGGAAAAATTTAGAAAAAAATTGAATTATATTTTGTTTAAAGAATATGAAGCCTACATATATTATTTAAAAACACACACATACACTTTGACATTATTTGTTGTACTGCCATAATGCTGATAGGAATGTGACTGAATAATGGGAATAACAAAAAATAAAAATTTTAAAAAATAAAAATAAAAATTGGAATATCCAGATGCTTAACAGTAATGCAAAGTTGTGAATGGGGACAATGTGCTTAATTGTCATGAAATAATGTCACAGAAGCAAAACATAGGCTAGAAATAGGCTTCATTTTTATTTTACAATATATAGCTTATTTATTTCATCGCCTTGCAATTGTAAGGTTCTATCTGCATTCTGAGCAGTTTTGAAATATTGAGCTTCAAAGTTTTTGTGTTCCATAGATTTCAGTAGATAGAACCCTTTTTGTTTTCTCTAAAAAAGGCCCCAAATGTACACAGCTTACAGAAGAAACATCAAATAATGTAAATAAGTTGTCACATAATAACAATATGTGAATAACTCAATTTTGACAAAAATGTCAGATAGAACCTTATAATTCCAAGGCGGTGATTTATTTATTTACTTACTTACTTACTTTAATTGGATATGTTTTGAAATGTAATTTGGACACGAATTTCACCCCATACACATTTTCTAAAATGCCACTGTCAAATTTATTTATATAGCAATATTTAAAACAACATGAGTTGACTGAAGTACAACAATGAATAAAGTGCCATAAAATAACAAAAAATTGACGATAAAGTCAAATGAAAATAAAACAGAAGAAATAGTAAACACCAAAATCATAAACAAATTTAAGAATGTCTCTGACTTGTTCAGACGTTTGCGGTCAGTAAGACTTTTTAATGTTTTTGAAAGAAATCGCTTCTGCTCAATAAAGCCAAAATGTATTTGATCGTTTGAACAGTGGTGTATATTTTAAAATTTCACTTCTGCTTACCTCCCACTAATAAACAAACTAATAAACCAGATGTATGCCCATCTTTATACAGAGGCTCTTTTTAAAAACACATTCATTTTGAGAGAATTTTAATTAAACATCTATAGAACATCCCAGATCTTGTAATTAATTACTGCAACACTAATCTGTTTTTAATCAGTTAGTTGCACGGTAGGTGCATCCAAAAATCTGCTTCTATTGTTCTTACATTATGCCACTTCTGAGTAAACAAACACAAGATTTTGTTTTGCTTAGTATGTTGATGAATAACAATGCCGTGTCAATGACTTAAATATTTCTCAATTTCACCAACATCCTGACAGCATCCAATGAGCACATGTGTGTTGCGTATGGGCAGAGGTTTTTTTATTAATTAGTCAACCCCTCTCCCACCCTCCACGTGCCTGGATGAAGGATCAAAGACTCGGTCGCTCATTCCATCTTGATGGATAGCAGATGCAAAGAGCTGCTGTTCCTGAAAGGCATGTGTCTGGTTTAGATCTTTGTACTATGAGAATATAACTGCATGAACAAAAGAGAAATTAGTAGGCATGACACATGAGAGAATGATTGCGCAACTTAGACAAGAGTCAAAATCTGGACCGAATCATGATTTTGTTTTCTTTCATAATGCATAAACACTACTCAGGATCAGTGTTGGGGAAAGTTACTTTTAAAAGTGATGCATTACAATATTGCGTTACTCCATAAAAAAGTAATGTAAATTAAAAAGTAATGCGTTACTTTACTAGTTACTTGAAAAAAGTAATCTGATTACGTAACTCATGTTACTTGTAATGTATTACCCCCAACACTGCTCAGGATGATCTGAAGTAAACATTGCAATGCTAGTTTATTTTGTGGGTGGTTGTCAGGGAGTTGTTTTGCTTACTTTTAAGGTGCTTTTTAGTGGCCTAAGATAGGGATGCACGATATTGGATTTTTGCCG